TGTATGAGAGACAGAGAACTTTTTTGTGAGGCTGCTAAAGCACCCACGATACCTGAGTAGTTGCTATTCTTTAGGGATTTTTTGCTAAAAACTTGTTTCATGACTATCCGACTATAGGAGTATGTTCACTGGCTTTCTTCTCCTAAGCAACAGGAAGCATCAGGTTGCATTTTTTATGTATAAAGAGCAAGTGAAGTTTTATGATCCTCTCAGATGAAAAATGCTGTCACAGTGTGGCAAAATACCACGAGATGAAGAGGAAAGCAGCAGCACGAGACCCACACTTCCTACCAAGGATACTAAGCGGCACATCACCTTGTTGTGGTCTCCCAGGGAGGGCTGAATTGCACCGTAACAGACATTATACAGATGAATTTCCAAAAGACACTGACTGAGAGCAGCAATGGACAAACTCCATTGTGCCATCTTGCACACTACAGATCCCTACGATGCTGCCTTGCACTACAGTGATTTCATAATTAATGTTTTCTATCACAGCAGAATTGATGAGAGTAAAATGACAGACAAATGCAGAGGGTAGGGAGAGTCAATGTCGTCATCACCCCAAAGAGGACAACCTTTTAACAACATTATCATCAGCAGTTCTGGGGGAAAACTACTGCTGTTCACTTGTACCTGAGTAAATAATGGAGAAAGAACTACTTGCAATAGGCGTGGGAAGACAGGACTTTATTGTCGGCTCAGAGGTTGACAAGTCAACTGCCCACCAGTTTCACACCACGTTCCTGGTGTGATGGGAGCACGGAAGATCATCTCAGCCTCTGGGCAAGTTACCAGCTGCAGGACCAACCAACACCAGCTACATAGAGAAAATGGCAAATACCAGTCCTACTCGTCCTTTCCATATCCAAAGCCCATGGCTGTCACTGGATCAACTGCCTTGCTGACTTCTTAAAAGAGAAAGAAGGAAAGGAAACCACTGAGGAGGACTAGGCACCAAAAGGTGAGCACTGCAAGATCCTTCCTGCCCCTCCTTCCTCATGGGCGGTGGGTGGATTGCTGTACAGAGGGGTCAGACCCTCAGAGAGGATTGCTTGGCAGCGCTCAAACCCGCCTCCCTCAACTGCACCAGTTACACCAGTTGAGGACCTGATCCCTGAAGGCTGCCTTTGTGTACGCAAGGATATATGCCCAGTTAGAGAAGAAGGGGGAAGCTGGGAGTGATAAATACAGAGAAGGATTTTCAGTCTCGATTATTTTGCTGCCTTCATTTCCATGGTAGTGTTTGGTATAGGTTTGCTGGTCTGTTTGCTAGCTTTGTCCCAACTGTTATTTTACCATCTCCTCCTACTAAAGCTAAAGTCGTCCGAGCTAATTTATTCCTTGTTCACTTGTAACTTGTACAGAGGCCAGAATAAAGCAAGGCTGAATATAAGCCTGTCTGAGCTACCCCCTTCAAGGTCAGAAATGTTTCTTTGCAACCAGACTGCAAATGCTATAAATATACATATGTTTGTCTAATAATCAACTCCTAAAAAAGAAATTGGTTAGATGCCTTGGTGGCCCAGCTACCCAACGTGATGTGACTTGCAGTCCGAATTATTTAGCTGGATTTTTGTGGCTCTAGCTCTATTATCAATTATCCACGGGCTATTTACATCTGACAAACATCTTTTGGGCTATTGGCTTCAGTAGGTGACATGCGCTAAATCTCCCTGAGAGAACTGAATAAGAATGTAGTCATGAGGAAAATGATAACTCTCGGTGGTTTACCATAAATATCCTGGAAGTCAGTGAAAATGGGGACATGCCGCTAACAAGCGCAGTTGATTTCAAATATCCCTCTCCATTATGAGTCAACCCGCACGAGCCTGGAGAAAGGCGGCTTGTGATGGATGCATGTTCTGCTTCATGTAAATGTCTGGGTGAGTGTATATATGCCCTTGCTGTTTATTCAAGGGATGTGATGGCCATCAGCGGAGCCGGTCAGCAATGCGCCTTTCCACGCTAACAACTGGCACTATGGACATTAAGGTGAATCATGAGGCCATGCTATTTCAGGAAAAGCTGTTCAATACTGAGTTATTATTGTCCCTTTTCTGCATGTTGCCTGGAGTACACTGCTACAGCTCAGCAAATGTCTCTTTTATGCATTTCTGTTGGCTTTCTCACACGCTGAATTTACCTGTCCCCTTCTCATCCCTCTATTCCTGGAATTAGATTGAGTTAAAACTATTATGTTTTCATAGCAGCAAGCTCAAAATTTTTAAAAGAGAGAATTTGGGTCACAAGACATTGCTTCATTTGCTTTAGACTTACATATGTTTCAAAATGATACCATAATTTTGGTGGAAAAAAATGGAAAGCTTCATTGAAAAGTATCAAAATTCAGTGCTTCAAATTATAAACCTTTTTTTTGTTTAAGTTAATCTCAGGAATTCAACCTAAGCCTTGAGAACTTCCTATTTGACTAATACCTGCTTATTTTCATAGAAAAATAATATAAGAAAAAATATTCCAGTTACAACTAGCAAAAACTTCTTTCTTCTCCCTGGCACTGAGAAAACGAGGCTCTGTCCTGGGAGAGATTTTTCAGAAACATATAAAGGTTTAGGCTAACTTCAGACAGGAGACATTTGCAGTTATGTTTATAATGTTTCTTCATTAGCGTGAGGCTATGAAAGGCAAGCACTCCAGCCTTGTGGAATTGGCATGCTGCAATTGGGGATTAAGGCCTTGGTATTTTTAAAACAAAATGACATGAATTGGCAATCATAACTGCATCTTTTCTTCTGGATGATTTTACCTGGGTAAGTCACTAAGCTAATTTACATCAGAATTTTTGACGCACAAGAATGAGAATATAAAGCAACTTCTGCTGAGGGAGTTCAAAGCTTTGATTGTGCAAGAAACTCAAGTTTATTTTGAATTATTGAGCACATGTTGCTCCTGGTAAGATCAGTCTAAGTTAATGGTGCTTAGTCCTTTGCTGATCAAGCCATCTTCCCAATAGCTCTGGTAAATTCATTTTGTCATACCTCTTTTCTAGGGAGGTAAATTGTCATGGAGTGCCGATATGTAATTAGTCCCAGGAAATCACTGAAAAGGGCTCATATAGAGATAATATTTCTTGGCTCTCAAAGCCAACTGCTAGACTCCGCTTCCTAATTCCAGATCATGAAAGTAATTAAATACAACCATATTAAATAGGCAGTGATGAAGCTAAGGAACCTGAGGCGATTGATTATAAATAACTACACCCCATTGAACCAGTAAGGTGGATAAGGGGCGTGCAGGAGAGCGTTCGAACACCTCGGTAACAGCCCAAGCTGGCTACGAAAAGAAGAGATGCTGAAAGAAACAGGCATGGACATGTTACGCTATTCCTACTGCGAAGACAATACCTGTGGTTGCTACTGCATTTACGGGTTGGGAACGCCGTCCACTGCTAACTCCATAGAGCTCAATTTCATATTCAGTACCCTCTTTCAGCCCTGTCATATCCTGGGTGCGCTCATGGCCTGGTACTATTAGTTCCAGAGGATCAGATTTCCTTTTGGTATCCCTGATTTTTAGAACAAAACTGTCGAAAACCCCATCATCTGCAGTCCAGGACAGACGGAATCCATCTGGAGTAGCATCTGAAACCAGAAGGTTGTCGACCTCGGGTTCTGCTTCTAAAAAAGGAAAAGATAGCAGTAGAGAAAAGATGATTTTTTTTTAATCAGCTCATTAGAGACCTGCCTGAGGTCTGGGTATAGCATACTGCAAGAATCCAACCACAGTTCAAAGAAAGGGAAACAATCTGCCAGCTATTGAAATAAATAAATAAAAAAAAAGAATATTAGTATTATACACATACTGAAGAAGACACATGTGAGTGTGTACAGGCCCATTCAAACTCTCACTCTTTAATAGCAAGTCCACTGCATGGACACACCTCCATTTGCCTCTGACATGCAAAGTTACACATGCTCAAAGGAAGTTTCATGTGCGTTTCTCCCTTGCTACCTACGTGAAACCGTTACAAACCATACAAACGAGCTCTTGTTACAGACCCGCAGGCATGCCTGTAACCTTGTCAGGTCCCTCTCTGTTAGGAGGACAACATAGAAGCCCCTTGAAAGAGTCTCTTTCTTCATGCAAAACCCTTATTTCATGCACTTCTGTCATCTGTGATGCTTCCGATCAGATGAATCCTTTACTTTGATATTAAACAAATGCTGAAGCAGCACAGGGACATCACAAAAATTCGTATCGCTTAAACAGCACACTTACACCCAAATGCAAGACCTACTGCCTTTAGTGAAAGAACCCATTCAAGAGGACCCCAGGAGCTGTAAGTTATGAATTACCTGCAAAATAAGTTTACCTCAGTATGGTCAGGCATCGTTATCTACAGAAATGCTACTGGAGTGGTTACTGCCTCACAGCATCTCCAATGCACTTCTTTCTTCCACAGAAAAACGTTCCTATTTATTTTCTAGCAACCCCCCAATCAGGTCACCCCCAGCTTTACCGCTGCATAGTCAGCAACGTGGAAATGAGACTTGATGATTATGGGGCCAGAGAATAAGTCTGCAATGATTTTTCAAGAGAGCTCAAATGATGCTGGGAAACGGCAGCTATGATGAGGCTGAAAACATGAGCTAAGGCTTTCTGGAGAGAGATCCCAACTTCATGGGCGGCAATAATGGCACTCAATGGTCTGTGGGTAGAACCCACATGGGGAGTGAAAGGAAGGAGGCCACGGGCAAGAAATCCAGTATGACTCTTCCTGCAGGTCCTGTTGGTTGGCGAGTTGGAGAATGCTGATGTGCCCCACAGCTGTTAAGGAGATGACCTCCCGCATGCAGCCATTTTTCTTTCAAGATTTCAGTTAGAAGTACCTGCGTGACCATACCAGAAACTTTCACCCCTCAACCCATGACATGCGCCTCTACAGGATCCCTCATAAAGACAGAAGGGAAACATCAAGTTAAAAGGAACAGAATTTCACTGGTGGACCCATCGTAAATCAGGAGGAGTTATGTGTAGCCACGATGCAGAAAAGGATGCAAAAGCCAGGGTTTGCTTTGCAAATGGATTGCATAAAACATCTTCCATGTGAGAAGAAAAGCAAGAAAGAAAGGGTGGAAGAGAACAATTTGTTCACATTAAAATACCTGTAACAGCCACAGTGCTCAGGGGCTTTGTTTGGTGCCCCTTGGCAAAACCATAAAGCATAACCTCATAGCCAATGCCAGTAATAAGGCCTTTAAGCTTCAGTTGCCGCTGGGCTCCCGTAAGGAGGAACTCCTGTGGGTCCAGCAGCTTGCCAGAATCCACCACGACTACTAGAAAGTTGTCAAAGGCATTCTCCGATGCCATCCACGACACTGTGAACCCGTAAGGGTTAATATCAGAGACAGTTAGGTTTTCCAGTGGGGGCATGGCCTCTAAAAGACGGGAAGGTGCAAAAACATACAAAAAAAGAGAAGCGAAAAACATTGTAAATTAGAAAGTGTCACAGATTCCACCAAACATAAATCACATTTTTTCCCGAAGTATGGATTTAATAGAAGTGCATAGCCAGGACCACAAGACTTGGATTTTCAATGGAGTGTCCAGAAGTCAGATGCTCAATTCCTGATTTTCATTAAGGGTGTCTCAGCACCTCCTATCACAAGCTCCATTGAAATTCCTCCCAAGCTCACTGCGCAAGCACATTTCTCCTGTTACACATGCACTGAAAGACAGTTATAACCAAAACTTTTAGAAATGCTACGCATAAAGCTTTCCTTTCCTTCCACTTGTGCGCACCATCAGTGCTTTAGGGACAACTTTGGCATCCACAATTCCTGTATTTTGCTTCTTTACCTCTCTACTTCACATGAATACCTCCAGCTTTTCTTTTCAATGGTGGAGGGGTCAGACATGCCACAAGGACTGCCACAAGGACTGCCACTGACCAGTCAGGGTCATCACCCAGTGCAAGTATTAAATACTTGCAAGATTGTTTTTTGCGGGGGATAGGAGAGAAGCCAGAGTTTGCGCTGGCTAACGGCAGGGGCTAGGGACTGCAGAACAGGGCAATAAACTGTCCAAAGAGCTTCACAGGCAGCTGCTAGTGTGGTATGTTGACAACTTAAAGAAATTCCAGTGAGGGGGTCTTTTTTTCACGTCAACATGACATTTGTCAAAGTTTCGAGGCTGTGGATCAACTCTCTAAAACTTTCTCACCAAGTCTCTGAAAAAAAACAAAGGCCAAATTTTCACAAGACAGTTTCTCAGTGTGTTTTGCTCACTCAAAACCTGTCAAGTCAAACAGGAAGATCAACTGACTCTGCTAAGCCCTGGCCTTCACCTGGATCCCAGGCATCGCTAGTATTTCTCTAAATTATTTGACAAACCTTGCTTTGTTGTCTCAGGAGTGAACTCATCTGATTTTCCAATCACTCCGATTCCACTCACTTCAGAAAATACCAGTTAGTTAAACAGAACTTTCTCTGGGAAGAGGATTTGGGTTTGGTTTTGACATTTCACAACTGCTGAAATGGATGTTCTGTTAGAATTTGGCACAAAAATTCCCTCCTAAGATTTTAGAATTTGGAAGTCGTTATGTTTTGATGTTTACACACTTGGGTGCCAGAGATCCAGTTCAAATTCACTCCATTTGGAGACATTTTTGCAGCTGACTTGCTTCTAATCAAGCCACCCCTCAAAGAGTCACATTTTGGTTTGGTCTCTGGGAGGGCGGGTAAACAAATTAAGAGCCCAAAATGCTGTAATTGTTTTCCTGGGAGAGGTGTCGAGTGACACCAACACACTAAACCCAGCAGGTTTAAGTGAACTGCTGGCACATCCTTCTGCTGTGCAGAGTGCCACGTGTTTACCTAGCCGTGGGAAGCTTCCTCTCAAAATACCAATGGCCGTGGTTTATTTTCAAAAAGGCATCATTTGTGCTCTGGTGGAGCAAGCGAGTGGGGTTCGGGAAAGCCGAGTTACTCACTTCTGACTATGTGACGGAATGTCATGAAGGGGCAGATCGGAGATGGTGCAAAACGCAACCACTTGCCTTAAGGAAAAGGATAATGAACATTGCCTTTCCCAGCCACTGACAGCCCAGCCCAGACGCCATGAGCGATGCTGCTGCTGCAACTGGTGTTCCCACTGCACGTTGATGAAGAGAGGAGAAAGAGGAAAAGGCCTCAATTCCTCCATTCATCCTATTTAGGACATCCCTATGGCCACATAATACACAGAAGGTGAATCCCGTGGCATTTATTTGATCACCCAGAAGACATGTGATGTACAACCGATCCCAGCTAAAATCTGGCCAAAATATTCAGACATAAGGGATGTGTTGAGGGGACATCAGAGGAAAGGAGGTGCTCTAAAATCCAGTCCTCTGGATCCTTCAGATGCAACTACTGAGTATTGGGTGAATTTCCCCCTCATAACACATGGGAGAAAGACTCCAGAGGGCTTTTGACTCACTTGAAACTCGTACTCCTCCTAGAAATTTTTTTTAAGGTCAACAGGACTAGTCTGACCCATCCTTGCACGACATTCACAAACAAAACCATTGATGCTGGACAAGATATTCAGTGCTGTAGAGAGTCTTTTTTTTTTTTTTTTAATCCATGTTGGAATATATATTTTTATAAGCCAATAAATAGACTCCAAACCTTTAAGCAGGTACCTGTCATGACAAAAGCAGTGAGGGGCTCTGTGTGAACACCTGCACTGGTGGTCCCCTTAATGTTAATGTCATAGCCAGTGTAATCTAGCAGGCCTGAGATATGAGCGCTGCGAGCACCTCCCGACACCGTAAGCTCCTGAGGTTCGTGTGCTGCATAGGAATCTCTAATATGTATAACAAACTTGGCAAAAGGCCCATCTCTTGTGGTCCAGGAGAGGTTGAAGCTGTCGGGGGTAACGTTTGTGAGTGTGAGCGTGCCCAGCTGTGGCTCAGCCTCTGAAGGAGAAAGGAACACAGGTGAAGAGACAAGCGTTACTCCAGGGGCTGGGGCAATTAGCAGTGGAGGTTTATAGATGATTAAAGATACGGCTGAATGTTTTAGCCTTGCCTTGCAGTGGCTGAAGAAAAAAAGGAGAAAAAAAAAAAAAAGGAGAGCAAGAGTTATTATGTAAGGTTTTGGAAAGAAGCCACTGAAATTAGTGCTGACTCTAAATTTATTTTTTCATTTAATTTTCTTAAAAACTCTCAATTTTCCCAATGAAATGTGAGCCTGATTTACAGAAGCACCAACAGCGTACAGTCCTGTGGTAAAACCACGGAAGTCGCAGGAACTTCGCACTGGGAATTTGATGGGAATACAAACCCAGAGCAATTCCAAAGTAGATAAAGTAGGATTCAGGCAGGAATTAGGTGAGTCCAAAATAGACATCCTTGAAATCCCAGTTCAGCCTCTGTTTAGCGTTCCTGTTGCCTGGAGTTGTAGATACTTTCATTTTTGGACCCTGAAGTTTATGAGGGGTTTAAGTCCTAACAGTGGTTATCTCAGCACTAATCTCGGGCCAAAACCTCCCTGGACTCCGCAGATCAGGTGTTCCTCATCCTCTGACGAGGCACAATCAGAGAATATATAATAGACTGAACCCCCCCACAACACTGCTGTTGCTCTCCTTTCTGACTGTGCAGTGGTCAGGGCACTCCTTTAAGAAGCAAAGACTTTCCTTTTCTGCTAGAGGAAATTCAAAATCACATCTCTCCCTAGCCAGGGGAGAAACTTGGCCTTCAGACTACAGGAGAAGGAGTGCTCCTCACCCGTCCTGTTTTAAAGCTATTCCATTTAGCGTAAAATCATTAAAGCTTCGTTAGAGCACAGAGAGAGCACAGACATGACCCAGCAGTCAGGTGGTCAGAGAATCTCGTGTCTCCTCTCAGAGCTGATTTTCTATTTTTTCTCTTGCCAATTGAGTACAAACCAAGAACACCTTGGGAAATGCAGCCAGTGAGATACAGGAAAATAACTATGTAAGTGATTCATGCTGGGAGAAAAAGTAAGAAAGATGTATCCCGCCAACAAAGAGAACAGTGAAAGAATGAAATCCTTTGCTTAACTGAAACATGAACTGCTGCAAGATGTTCCAACTTTTACTCCCATCCCTTATTGCAAGACTTTTAAAAATAATAGTCCACCTTCTTCTCTGGAAATGTCTAGGAAGAGGTGAATCCAAGTGGCCCCAATTAAGGACACATGCTGTCGTCATGCTGTCAACCAGTGACCGTCAATGCCTTCATGGCTGACAGTGAAGATGTCACCATGTAAGCATGGTACTTCCAAAGACAGGGGAGGAGATGAGAAAATATCCACAAAGCAAACAGGCTTGGGTGCAGAACCCAGTGAAACCAAGCATGGAGCCACCAGCCCCGCATGCAGTCAGAGAGGACAAACGGATCCTTTCCAGTCTCATCCTGAATTGGGCACATTCCCTCACATGCCACTTGCATCCAGTCAGGCACGTTCACATCATGAGACCCAGACTCCAAAGAACACTACATGCAAAATAAGTCGAAATTATCTCTCCAGGCAAGTCTTAGTGATCTTCCACCATCCTGGAATCACCATCACCACAGGAAAAGCTCTGACTTCCAGTGAAACAAGACAGGTCTTAGAGCCTCAGAGGTAGCAATGCAAGTGACAGAGTGGTGGGCTGACCATCAAGAAAAGGTGAACTTGTATTTTAAGCCCTGCTCTCTGCTGGGAACGCATAAAAACGCTATGCAGAGAAGAACATCGCAACCAGCACAAGGCAGCCAGACCACTCCATGCAGCTTTGGTTGGTCATTTAGCATGCTGAATGAAACTCCCCCAAGAGATACAAATGTCTTGGAAGACACTTGGTTTTAAAAACAAAGAACCAAAATGGCATGCAGGTGCCTCTCCAGGCTGATAAAGGCATGAAGGCCTCCCACCCACAACAAAGCAAGGGAGGATGGGATGAACAAGAACTTTATTCCAGATCAAGTGCAAAGATACTCTATGAAAAATACTATCTATCTGGAGCAAGTCAATTATATATACACAGAACTTGCAGATAAGTGTATATATAAGGAAACCAATCATGGTTTGCTACTGGCTCCCTTAATGCTGGGGACACTTCTTCAGCCTTTTCCATAGTCTCAGATCTCTGTTTTTCCAAGCGCTCTCAAGCCCAGCTTATTTCAGCCTCCCCTCATAGTGATCTCCCTACAATTTGCCAAAGGAATGATGATGAGTTGGAGCCATGTTTTAGAGCAGTTTGGTGGACAGCAAAAGAAAGAAGAGAAAAAAGCAAACCTGGAAGGTGAAACAGTGAAATACCTGTGGTTGCCAGTGCTGTCAAGGTCTGACCACCTTGCCCATCAATTACACCGTGGAGTTGGACAGTGTAATTAGTGGTAGCTTTGAGGTTGGTGACTACATAGCGCCGGGAGGCCCCTGGCACTGTGTGCACCAGGGAGTCCAAAGGGAAGTCAGAGTTTCTGACTTCTAGAATAAAATGGTCAAAGGCATTGTCCTGCGCTTCCCACGTGAGTGACATGCTGTCTGAGGTAGCATTTGATACAGTGAGTTTGCTAAGGAGAGGCTCCTCTACTACAGGAAGAAAAACAAATGGAAATGTATTGCAATTATTAAAACCCAAAGCAACAAAATAAAATAACACACAAGTTTGAGTTCATATGAGCCACAAGTCACAAAAATCATCTAGCCTTGTGTTTCTCGATGTCTTCCATACCACAACCCCTGCAGTCACCCTGCCCACGTTAGTCATGATTCAGTGAGGATATTCACAATGTGCTGATGCTAGAAACTGCAACTCTGTATTATCTGATCACTGAAATTTGATATTGTCTAATGCCATTGACCACGTTAATCCATTGCTATAACAAATTGCTATGACAACTTTTCCTAAGATCATGTCAGCAGGCAAAATTTGCTAGAGATATTAAAGGATCGTGACGTGAGCTATTATCTGCCTACTATGAGAACGCACCTTCTGCTTCCATACTCTCTCCTTCCACTTTCATACTGTAATTGGCTAGAGCACATCGAACATTTGACTTCCCCGTCTTTTCTGGAAAAACTGTCAACTATAAAACCTCGAGATGCACAATGTGTCAGCAATTAAACGCCTATCTATTTCATTCACATCATCAAGTCAAATGGACTCTTTCAATCTCTCATCCCATGTAAACTGAAGCTGAATTTAAGCAACGCATCTGCCTTGTAGGAGTCTGCTGTCACAGACTGATATGTGCCTCAAATCTATTTAGCGAATCAGGATAAAAACTGTATCTGGAAATCAGCTTATCTGAGAGAAATAGTGTCTCCTCTACGCTGTGTGACAGATGCCAACACAGGCTGCAAGGCTAACATAATGAATCATCTCCCACTTCGTTCTTGGGAAATTTCTTTTGCATCTCATCTGTGTCAGAGGATGCCCTAACCTTAATGTTTGGACAAGAGCAAACTTGTTGTGTGAATGAAATCACTTCACGATGCGATTGACTGACTTTGCTGTACGTGACAGCGGATTAACATTCACAGTTCAAAACGTCTCCGGAAGGTCTTCCTTAGAAGGTGTCAAACAATGAGGTAGAGGATTTGGTAATGGGCAGAGTGATGGGGTAGCTGAGGGCAGGGACAGGGGCACAACCTGTAAGGAAGAGTTAGAAGAAAGGAGAGTTAGCATTGAGGTAGGTTTTATATACCTGTTGTAGCTGCAGCACTTATTGCCTGTGTGCGGAAACCACGAGAGATTCCATAGAGGTAGACAATAAAATCAGTGCTGGGGGAAAGCCCTGAGATATGAGCAGTTCTTGAATTGCCTGAGATGTTGAACTCCATGGGCTCCAGCAACCTGTTAGAATCAATAATTTCAATAGTAAAGACGTCGAAGTCCCCATTGGCGGTTGTCCAAGAAAGGTTGAAGCTTTCAGGAGTAATGTCGGAAACGGTTAGCTCACCAACTTCTGGGTGCACTCCTGAGGAGGGAAACAACATTGGTCAGAAGGGAACAGCCCTGTACCTCCTCCTGCTCAGAAATGCCGCGCTTCTCTCTGCTCATGCTGGCAGCGATCCAAGCTGCCATTGGAGAACAGGGTTTGAGTAAAAGCTTGCTATAAGCAGACAGGTACTCAGGTGAAAAAATCAAATTAAAGCATCTCAAAATGTTAAATAAGAAAAAAAAAGAAGGGAAAAAAAATAAAAACAATAAAAACAAGCTTCTAAGCTATGGCTATTTCCTTTTATCTCCAGGAGAAACCACGTGTCTTCGAGGTCTGAGCATGAAAGCAGATGCAAAAGAACTTTTCTGAATGTCCCTAGGGCATTTGGAAAAGTCAGCTTCCAGTTTCAGGAGAAGCTAAAACTAGAGCTATTTCTTTATCCAAAGGAAAAGTTTGTGGGTTTTAGGCTTTTCTACTTTCTCTTTCAGCTCAAGCCCGTGGAAGCTGGCATGTAATTTTGGAGCTGGAGCCAAAACGCAGAGCTGTGATAGCTGCCTTGGGGTTTCTTCCTCTCTGTAGACATCCCTGACGTGTTACAGGAAGGCTCAGAAAATTCTGACAATTGGAAGTCCCCAGAAGGGAAAATTTTGAAAAGCCGGGTGCTGAGCATGACCCAGAAAGGAAGGGAAAACCTCAGCGGGGCATCTTCAGCTGTTTTCATTAAGTTAGTAAAAAGAGAGCACATCGCATATTTAGGCAGGACACCCGTGATGTCTGTTTTCTTGTTTGTCCTCATAGAGCCTTCTTCGTCCAGCCACATTTGTCTGTTTTCAATGGGCAATCTGCTCCCAGCTCACACTCAGGACTCTCAAAGCACAGGGCTTCTAGCCTGCAGCGGGACACAGCCCAACGCAAGCGCCTTGTGCCAGACACGTTTCTACCTAAGCCAGGTGGCTTAAAGTGTTACTGAAACAAGCAAGCTCTATTGTGTGTTTAATGTTTTAATTCTACTTAGTTCTTATGTGTACTTTTATTCCCTTCTGTGCTGGGTAACATGTGCTTGGGGAAATCAAATACGAGCAACCTTTGGCCATCTCACAATCACAGGAGGTTGCAAAGGTCTGTAAGGAAGCCCAGAGGCAGCAGATATCGCCTACGAGAAACTACCTGAAGGAAGAGCCACTGGTGACCCTTTATTGCCAATTAATTCATACCCGGTTCATTACCAATGATCATAACACCTGGAAGAATCAGTGAGCCATGCAGGATAGACATAAGTATATATTTACTGCTCAGAGTCAAAGCTCATGATAAGCTCTCATTTAAAACTGTAGACTTGCACAAGATCAGCCAGAAAATTACTTTTGTGGCTCTTGATTAGTTTCACGCATCCTTCTGATCATGCGGTGCTTACCTTCCTTCTTCCAGGTCAGTTTTATGCCAGGGCAGTTCTGCTGAATTTGGTCTTCCTGCATTATATCTTTTCCAGACTAATCAGACTGTTTACCAACCTTATGTGGCTTAAGACATGACACTACTGGCAGGAATTCATTTGTGTTCTTTTCTACATGAGAACATATACAAGGTGTCTGTCCTTGCCCTGGAGACAGATGCACATACTACACTCCTGAGTTTGTATTTACACAGAAGCTGGTGCGCAATTCCAGAGGTAGCTTCTGGAGGGCAGAAACTAAAAGTGCTCTCGGGCTTTGATTATCTGCATGATAAAGAACAGATTTTTGTAACGTTACACAGCAACCTGGGCTTTCCCGAGCACGTACAACAATCAGTTGGGTTTTGCTGTTAGTGTCAACCAGCAGAGAAGTGAGTAAAGGGAACAAAACAACCCTTCTGAGGTCGGGGGAGGGGGGGAAGCATTCCTAAAAGCAAAGGGCTCCACAGGGGCACTGAGACTCTTATTGGAAAGGCTGCTCATGAGACATTTCCATGCCAGAGATGTTCAGCCAAGCTTTAACGAGTTCAGTGCATCCCATGCAGGGCCGAGCAAGGGAGCAAGCTTTGCCGAGCAGTTGCAATAGCCCTGGCTCGCATCCCTGTCTGAAAGAAAGAGAGCCACCGGACTGGACGAGCGACTTGAAAAGATACCTGTCATGGTTTCAACAGAAAGAGGTTTGGTCCTGTAGCCTTGAATCACACCCTGAAGGGTGATGTTATAAGGTGTGTTGGCTTTGAGGCCTGTAACATTCACAAAGCGCAGTCCGCCTGGGACTGTGATATTCCAGGTTTCTTCGGGATTGTCAGACTCCTGCACCTGAATGATAAAGTTCTCATAGGCCCCATCGGCTGCTGTCCAGGTGAGCTGGAAACCATCCCAGCCAGGCTCTGATACTGATAATTTTCCAAGCTCAGGTTCCTCCTCTGAATAAGGACAGAGAGTCAATCAGTTACTCAGATTACAGAGCAGTGGTGATGTTCCACATTAATGAATTTCATTTGTAATCAGTGACACGGAGATGCACCCCCACACACACATTACATCCTCAGCTGCCTCAGATAACTCACGAAGTCTCTTGAGAGACATGGCAAAACAGAACATTAAGAGAAGAACTGTAGTAATAACTAATAACCACATTAATACTAAAGGACTGCTTACAGAAAGCAGCTGATAGACCATCTTAAAGCTGCAAGTGTTTTGCCAACATTAATTACAACTCCCTATGAGACAAGTAAGTCTTACTATAACCACTTTACTGCAGCACTAATAACTCAGTGTTTGCCATTATGAAGCGACTGTGAATACTGCAATAGTGCCTGTTGTAATGGTAGGAAGACACTGAGTTTAGAGTACTTGGGATTCAGATGTTTATGTTTTTAATTGTGTCCACAGGAAGGATGCGATTTATTGTTCCAAGCTATTTTTAATCCAAAACAATAAAGGGGAAAATTCCTCCATGTCTGCATGCCTTCAGTTTAATGGATTTGCCTTCCTTATATGACATTATTCTGTCCACAAAACCTTCCTGGAGGCAGAGAAGCTTGGATTTTCAGAGTTACTGATATTCATCTCAAATTGAAAGCTGCATTCACAGAAATCAACAATCTCAAAAGCCATCACCGGGGTGGCCAAGGAAGTTGGGAATCATCAGAGCTAACTCTCTGATGCTGTTAAATCTGAAAGTTTAGGTCATTTTCTCAGCAAGAATAGAAAGTTCTCCGTTACAGAGGAAATACAAGTGATTCCTTAAAATTAGCAGTCATATGGGAAAATAATACCTGTTTTTTTCCTATATGAAAAATCTTGCTATATGATCAATCATTGGCCTGTGGACTGCAATGACTTTCTAGCACTTTTCTTATTCACTTGGCTTGTCAATACATAAGCATTATAATAAGAGAGTCTAGTTGAATAATCCCAATCTGCACAGCTAAGAATTTATAAGAAACAATGCAGGAGGGAAATGGATTCGATTTGTCAGTTGTAAACTTCAACTTTAAGCTTTATGACTATTTCAAGGCAGAAGGTAAAGGGGCCCTGGAATAAATGAAAATTAGGCTCAGCAACATTACTCAAATAAATTTTCCCCCTGTAAAAACAGAGTGCTTATTGTATGACTGCTGCATAGCCTTATATAGGTAGCTGGGGCTGTATTTTCAGAGGTTGAGCACTCATAGATCACAGCCAATTATCTTCGGTGAGATTCAGTAATGTATAGTAAATTGCTGCTACTCAGGAACACAAAAGTTTTGACAAGCTTTTCCCATCCTGTTAGAAAGGAAGAGATTGTTTATGAAATAACACAGTGATGTTCAACAAACAAATGCATGAATCCAGAGCTGCTTTGCTTTATCAGGAACAGAAATGAGATACATTGTGGCAAAATATGAATCCTGTAAAAATAGCACTGTTTAGCTGAAAAAGAGAAAGCAGTACAGAAAAGTAACTGGTTGTATCAGAAATAATGATCTTTTGGTGGCAACAGAAACAAATAAAACAAACACACTGCCTTAAAATGGAAATGAAACTAAACCAGGAGTTACAGTAAGGTAAAATATTTTAAGTAAAAGCTTGATTATAATAAGTAACGCAGTAATCATCGCAGTTTAAAAGCAATTCAGCTTTCTCTGAAGAGTGCTCAGTTTCATTCGCCTCCAAGATGCAGAGTTTGTCTCCTCCCATTTGTTTCTCATGCATGTCTGAAAGGGAAGCGCACACCCCCATCATGCTCTCTAGCGACCAAGAAATTCTCATACAAAATCATGCACCACCTTGGACTGCTGGAGACCTCCAAAAGCCTCATCCATAAAGCATCCAGCATATATGACAAAACAATTACAACATCATGGCAAATGATGTCAAGGGATGATGTTTCTTAGTTTAAAAAAAAAAAAAAGAGAGAACAAACCATTGAGAGATGAGACTGCTCTAGCCTTGTAGTAGGTGTGAAGTAATCTGTGTGCTTCTATGCAAATATTTGATCTCGTGTTGTGAATTTGGTTGTGGGTGGTAGACAGGTACAGTCACTAATCTCCAGCTAGGTTCTCCAGATATGAACTTACACACTGGTACTGTGATCCTTAGTGAACTGAGCCCTGAGGCTATAGGCCTGCTTCCTCATGAAATTCGTGCAATAGGGATAACAGGTGGAAGGTATACTCCCAATGTGTTTCAATCTTTTTTTTCTCTAACATCACCACTTCCATGCCAATGCTGCAAACCACAACCTCCTTGCGATCCTTCTTGCGTTTGGGCCACAATCCAGGTAAATACATGTAGCATCTTGCTATTTTCATGTTCCTTGTAAATAGCAGATGCATCAATCTCTCTCTCTCTGCATGCAGTTGGACAAGAGAGAACTGATGCTACATCACCTTAAAAGCTGCATGGGGCACTGTCCATGCTGCACCGCTCAAGGCTCTCATTCCATAGCAATAAGAGTTTTATCCCGTGCAAAAGGAAGAAAGGGGAAAAAAACGACTAAGAAGAAAGGCATGACTCACAAAGCCTAGCATTTCTGCAGTGGAACAGCAGTACGAAAATGAAGTTCTGTATTTCAAAGCAGAAAAGGAACATATGGCTAATGAATTCATAGAAAATACCTGTAGCAGCTAGGGCTTCCAGGGACCAAGACAGCTGACCTTGAGTGCTTCCGTGGAGGTTAATCTGGTATTGTGTGCCAGCTGTGAGATGGGTAATTTCTGTTTCTCGATGGTTTCCCGGCAAAAAGATTTCCCGTGTTCTGTTTAAACTGGACAGGTCTTTCAGAGTGATAAAGAACTGATCAAATACCTCATCTTGTGCTGCCCAAGACAAGGTGAAACTACTGAAAGTCCTGTGTGTTATATTAAGGTCATGAAGAGCACCAGTGGCGATGGGAAGGTCAGTGGGCACCAAAAGCAGAGCACGAGAATCAGTGCTGGGGTTTGTTAAATGACTTAGCTCTGTAGGCGCAGGGCCGGTAGGATTAAGTGACGTTTCATTGTTTGATTCTCCAGGTGTTGTGACTAGACGCGCTAAACAGAGGTAAATTATAAGTTAAAATTTCCTGATAATAAACCCCCAAATACACCAAAAGACAGCAAACATCTGCTACAAAACAGTTTGTGTGCTTTGCATTAAAGAGCTCTAAGAACAGAGAAAAAAGATGGGTACTTCTTTTTTGGAGACTGAATCCAGGCCACAAGCATAGGTAGCATCACCAAGCACGGCACGGTTCTCTCGCAACCACACTAACCAGCACATCCAGCGCAAAAACCATTAAACACAGAGACGAGCTGAAATGCCTCCAGCAGAGAACCGGGCACATCCTCAGTTGATGTAAATCAGTATACTTTGACTACCTCCAAAGAACTTCACTGATTTACATCGGTGAGGATTTCAACCCTAAGTCTCTCAAACATGCCTTTTATCTCTACTACAGCATGTCAGTTATTGCTTCCGATATAAACCGTAAGCAGAATGCATGCCAAATATCACAAACATATCCAAATCCAGACTAAGAAATCAGCCACAGCAGAAGCATGCTAAATCTCATCCTATCCGATCAAAAACAGGCTTGGAGGAGTTATCCATCTGGATACATGCAGAATTTTCAAAAAAGGCTGGGGGGGGACACACATCCTTACCTACAAACCAAGACAGAAAGAACTTGAGCAATATTTCTTGAAAGAGATCCAAAGGAACGGAAGGGAAAAAGACTCGGCCTTCAGCATGCTGAATAATCTGTGAACGTATCTTGTACTACAGTCAGATTCTGAAAATCTGAGAACTGTGGAGATCACAGAGAATGTGTTTCTGATCCCAGCTGCAAGGCAACAGGCAGGTGATTTTTCTGACATGCAGAATTATCTCCTCATTAGTGGAAAACCACATCGTTTCACACCTCAGTGACTGCCTTGCTTTCATGCTCCACTTGCATTCAATTAAGAGAGAGCAAGTCATCTACCACCATTAATCATATCAACACAAATATGTACTCAGGATTCAGTATCTGTCTCCAAATTCACACATGTATCAGAAAAAAAAAAGTTCTCAGAGGAGAAAGATCAAATAAAAACGTTTTCAAATAAATGCAGAAATGGTATCTTGAAAATATACTCTCAGGACAAATTCAGATGTAAAACCATTGTCTTCTGCGCGCCTCCAGGAAGGAGAGAAGCCTGTGAGGCAAAGTTATTTATATTTCTGTATATCAGTGATACTCCTGACTTAGTAAGGGCCCTCCTTAAACTAGCCCAGCACACGATCTCAACCAGGCCCTACACATGGTGCAACCTGAAGACAGCCACGGTGGCATCATACTAGCACGCCTGCAGTGGAAACCACGAGGGGAATTCCTTCTTTCTCGCCAAACGGACTGTCAGACCTCTCTGGCCGCGCCAGGCCTCCCGAGCCCACGTCCCAAAGCAGGAAGACATGCAGTAGGGAAGCGTCGGCCTTCCGCGACTCTCGGCTGCTTGCGCACAATCAGATGCCAACCGGCTCTTTCCTATTCTGGGAACAGGCAAAAAAGTATGGCATCAAGCAGGGGCGCTGGTACTTGTTCAGCCTCAAGGTTGTCTACTTAACATGCACAGCGGTAGCTGGGCTTTGCTGTGGAGTACTTCTGCAGAAGACATGCATAAACAGAGTGAACAGACCAGCGGGGAGGACATGTGTACATGTGTACACAACACACGTACAGCACCATGCTGCGGATGGTCCCACTGGGAAACTGCCATGCACCCCGAACTGGAAACCTAGGACAAAACATCCCAAAATGCAAGGGAAAAGGGAAAAATCAAGGCTGCATTACGCTCCTGCTGTACCGAGGATCCCTGAGAAAATCCCTGTGTAACATTAGTTGAAATTGGCTTCTCATTTTCCCTCACTTTACCTGATCACTCCTAGACTTTTCTCCCAGATTCCTGTCAGTTATAGTACAACCACACAAGGACCTGGTTTCTCTGATCTGAACGGGAAATAGAGTACCTGTTCAACTGCATTATACAAAAACTGAGGGACCAACCACTTAATTGGTGTTTTAATTCAGAATCTTGCTGTCCTAAGTGGGTTAGTTTTATTTTGCCAACTCTGACAACTGCATGGGAGGTTGCCATGTACTGCTTGTCCCGTGGAGCATATGTAATAATATGTGGTTATATTACCTCCAATTTTTTTTCAGGCCTAATTCTGAATACCACCTTGGGTTTAATGACTTTACTCCATAAATGAATTTGTGGATGAGAAAGAGTGGTCTACCCTCTACACACACATCTAAACACACGTGTAACCCACATTATGTCCACATGTAATAGAGGAATATGTGGCTTTATGTACAAACATACAACAGAAAAATGAAAATTATATGAAAACATGGAAGATACTTTGATACCACAGGCAGTATCAGTGTTCATTGTTTAGCAGAGAGAGTACTATAACAGCTAATGGAAAATCTGGAAAACAATCAAAGTACAGGACAACAAGACCAATGGAGTTCAAACATTTGACTTAGCAATACGGGGAATAGATGAGGAGAAGAGAAAGAGAACTCTAGCAGCCCTAGGTGGGTGGGTGACAGCCAGATAGAATGATTCATGGTGGCAAGATGAGTGAATAGTAGATGCCAAAGAGCTGAAAGCTATGTAGAAGGAACCCTGGATGGACGACAAACATACGCTCTTTCTCAGACTGAACTACTTCTCAATATCATTCTTTTAGTAAAATCTTCAGGCTGAATGTGGCCTAAATACGTCTGCGCTGCTGTTGCTGGCCTTTTGAGGAATTCCATTGTAATGCTTCACTGGCGATTTTACCAAAACAGAATGTTAATGTCCTGCCAGGACATTTCCCCAGTTACTTGGGATGGAGCAAACAGTATTCTATGTTATTTCTTGCTTCTGTCTCTTGGATTTCATATTATTTTCCAAGAAGGGCTATCAGCCAGTTTCACTGCGGAGTCTCTCATTGACTCGAGCACACTGTAAGACATGATGGCCTCCCAAGGTATTTGTGTTATTTTCAGGCCCCTTTGGCTAAATGGCTTTCCTCTCTCTCAACCAGCTGATTAAACTGGGCTTACAGCACTGGTGCACCTCTGAATTTCATAAAGAAAGCACTGCAGTAGATCACAAGCCCAAAATACTACAGTAGCTACCACTAAAAATTCTCATACTGAAGTCAGCTTCCAGGTACTCTTAGCAGAGGAAGCAGCTGAAGAGATGGACAATCTTTACTGGCAAATTTATTTTCCTGGTGGTCTGCACTGCAGTTTCCCATTGAACTGGCTCACCTAATCTTTCCTCCTGATGTTTCTTTGAGTTTGTAACAAAAAAAAAGGGAGGCGCAATCTAAGACTAGTAGAAGCCAGGAGAGGGAATGATGCACAACACAGACAAGGGTCTTTGGCAAACAGCATAAACCTTAAAAGCATTCAACAGAACGGAAAAGTTACTTCTCCAAGCCATGCTCCTATGGGCAACTCACTTCCAGAGGCAAGACATATCACATCCCCGATTCATCAGCAGTTGCTGCACAATCTGGGTCCTTCCGCGGAGGAATCTGAGGTTGGCACCTGGTTTCTCTAATGTCCACTCATTTATCTCCACAGGCCTCTCATGCCTGATGTATTACCATCCGTCCTCCTCCAGGACCCACATTGTGCTATGCAGGCAGGGTTCCAGAACCAGAGCAAGAAGGAACAAAGCTGCAGTCTGACGGCTCAGCTTCCTCAGAGCTGGGTTACGTGCTCGCCCTACGGATTAGTTGGTAATTTGATGTAACATTCTCAAGACAAGCTGTCAGAAAGGTCCCTCCAACTAGTAAAACGGCTCATCTGCTTTGATTTCTGAAGTGGTTCTAAACCAAAGCCTTAGTGCGATGCTGGGTGGGACCTCTAACAAATAAGCAGTACCTTATTTTGTGATACCTTCGTTAATAACAGAAAGCAGGTACCTGTTGTAGCCACAGCTTCCAGAGGAGAAGAGCGCTGTTCTCCAGCCAATCCATACACCTTGATTTTATAGGAAGTGTTAGCTTGGAGGCCGTCAATCACAGCAGCTAGGGATTCTCTGGGCAGGAAGGTTTCTGCAGGGGGCCCCGCTGCCAATGACACTGCCGCGTACTCCACCACAAAACTATTGTAGAATCCTGTATTCGCATACCATGAGACACTAAAGCTGTGGTCTGTTACCCTCGAGACCACAAGGTCCCTCAGTGCATCCTCCTGCATCCCTGAGGCCTCTGGAGCAAGAAAGCTCCCAGAGCCAGAAAGCTGCTCTGGGTCAGGAGTCATTGCCCGCACTGGGGTTAGACTATCCAGAGCTACAAAGACACAAACAAGCAAATGGCAGTGTGAAATATTCGGTCTTTCCTTGTCAGCAAAACAAAATAACAGTTAGCAAACTGTTCACTTTATAATCTTTACCATCCCTTGAATGCAGAATCACGGACATCAGTTAAAAAAAGCTTTGTCACTTGAGTTGCGCTTCATCCACGTGAAGAGACAGAAGCAGCAGAAGGCTGCCATCCTATACGATGGAAGATTTTGTGACATGTCCTTTGCTAGAGGTTCACAAGCTCTGAACGTTTCAGCTGTCTGTGTGTGGAGAGTTGATATACATAAAAAGATAACAGGAAGAATGAGAGAGGAGAGAAGGCAGCAACAGAAGATCTTCAGCTCTGGGACTTAAAGAAGCTTTACCCTCAGTGACAGAAAATTCACTATGCAAACAAATAAAAATAACACGTGGGAAACTCCTGACTACCTGCCGGCAGAGAAGCCTGACTGGACCATCAAGAGGCTGGGAAGAATATAAGACGGAAAACCGACAATCTGGAGAAGCAAAGGAAACTCTGAAAAGAAAAACTCTCAGCCCTTCCACAGCCCCTGGCCCCTTTGTCCAGCAGGGACGGCACATGCCCCTCTAAACAGCAGGACCGTCTCCTCCACCCACCGAGGAGAGCTAGTCCAGTCTGAGCTGTGCTACTGGCATGTTCCACATTCCTTTCTCTCCCTGGTTGCTCCAAGCACTCTCCCCAGCAGTGCAATGGACCTGAGGTCCCCCACAGCTCTGCAAGAGAGGGTAAAACAAGAAGTTTGTCTGGCTTAGCCTGAGGGCTTCAGGACCTCCCAAGTACTGGGAACACGGACGAAGAGGACTGACTTGAGGGTAGACAAAAAAGTAAACTGAAGAAGAGACCTCTTGTCTTATACCCCACAGGCTCACACAGCATTTCTCCCTCCCCGCACTCATGTGTTTGGATTTCTCCAAACCCACGCAGGAGGAAGGTCACAATGACAGGTTATGTCAACTACTGCTGTTGCTTCTTAGGAGCCCACTGTACTGAACTCTTTGTTTACTGGCTGCTCTGAGTAAAGACTTAAAACAAACACACTGGCCAGATGAATGTATTTGTAAAAAATACCCCAAAAACCAAACCAGAAAAAAGAAGCCACCGTGTAGGACTTCGGAAAGACCAGACCGTGAAATTCCACAGCACGTTGTTTCTGCCCTTTCACCGTCTATGCATACTTCTTTTGAGACCACTTAGTTTTCAGACAGACGGGAAAACAGATAACTTCGGAAAAATCGAAGCCTGCTCACTCCTGCCACAGAAACCTTCAGCTTCC